TCCTTATCTCTGCCTGGGAACTCGTAGCCGGCGATTATAAGTCTCCGCATAGTCTTGATAGCAAGCAGACTGTTGTCGATGCTCTCAAGCGCACCGCCTTCGTCGTCTCCGCCATCGCGAAAAAAGGCTTGCCATGTTTGCACCTTGTTCACGTAGATGGTACCGAGTACGTTGAAGATCTCCGGCGCGACGGTCTGTAAGCTCTGCCGTGTTCGTAGCAGTCGCCCCGTGGACAGTTCCTTGACAATGTATAGCAAGACGAGAAGGGCGCGAGGGAGTTGTAAGCGGTAGGCGTTCGGATCGGTCGAGGCGCGAAGGATGTGGAGTAGTTGTTGGAATAGATCTGGCCTAGAAGTTGTTAGAGTAGGGAAGTCTATGTTGGGTTGGACTGACCAGTCATTTGGGAACTCGAATCGGACAATCTTAGCGACGACGAGAGCATTCTGTAGGGCCAGGCGATGGTCGGCTTCATTGACGGCGCTTTCGAGTAGACGGGCACGTATGGCAGCCTTGTCTTCTTTGCTTACAGCACTGCGGTCACGTAAGCCCATGCATCTCTGCGGCTTTATGTGGAGGCGTACTTGGTGGCAGTCTTGCGCCAGTACTTGTCGATGCCGTTCTTGAGCTGGATGACGGCGAGGTAGCGAACTTCGAGGGGGAGGGATTGGTCAAGGAACACCGTCTACTAGTGTCAGTCCGGTACAGTCCAGGGAGCTAAGATATGCATACCTGCAGCAGAGGATAGAAACCCGCGGCCTTTTCCCATTGCTGGAGTTGCTTGGTGCCTGTCTGGACTTGGGTTTGATCTGCTGAGGACGCTGATCGCAGGACGTGGAACAAGATGCTCTCCGTCAGAGGATTCGCCTCGGCTGGTGCCTCAATACTAAACTCTGTATTCATGCTGTGAGTGTTGACGGTCAACTATCGCGGTAGTGGGGCAGCCGCAAGTAGGTGAACTTTTGGATATGGCAGGAACAGGCAAGTAGTTGGGCGGAAGCGGCTCACGGCTCAGGCAGAGTGTGAAGTCTATGAAGCCTGCTCACCCAGGCTGCGATCAGGATGCGGCAAGTCTTGTCTGGGAAGTCTATCTTGGTGTTTGGAAACAAATTCGAGAAGCTCCCCGCCTGACAGCTCGGACCTCCGAGACACGAGACAGTGATTCTGGGGCATCTTGTTGGCATTTGACATATACTGCGCATAATATCATGAATCGTCAGTCATACATCTAGCGTATGCGTGTCGATGCTCTCCACAGAAGCACTGTTATGGGCGTGTCTGAACATGGCCCCGGCGTGTCTGGAGAAGGCGTCGCGCGCATCGGCTACTCCCACGCCCACGCCTTCCCCAGCCAACCTCGGTCCGTCGCAACTCGAGCCTCGTCTCCCCATCACGCTGTCACGTTGCAGCCCCATCGCGCGCCATCGCCAACCACGCCCGTAACATCCACCCTCCCAATGCTCCCAAATGCCCTCCGCAGACTTCGCCGCCGCCCAGCAACGCATAGCAGCCCGCCGCGCTCAACGCGCCCTTCAGCAGCGCAATCACCATGAGCCGCCGCCGTCAACCGCACAACGCGCCCTCTCGCGCCTGCCCTTCCCCTTCAGCAGCGTCTCCTCGACCGGATTCAGCGTCTGGGACGCGATAAAAGGCCGGTCGGGAACACGACCAGAGTTCCGCGTTGGCCAAGTCGATGCCGAACTCCTCGATGAGGAACTCCTTACCCTGATGAAGGGCCAAGTCGGCGAGGGCCTGAAGTACTTCGGGAGTCATATCACAGATCACTACTCGGCCGAGATATTGCTGGCATTGAGGGCTGTGCTGTGGAAACTGAGCATTTGGGACCAGAACGCGAGTTATGGCGCGCATCTACAGGGGCTGCGGTATACGGATGCGCGGAGTAGTGCACCGAATCGCCCGCCACCTAAGCCGTGGCAGAAGATTGCATATGGGGCTGTCACAGTGGGAGGGCGATACGCGTGGACGAAATGGGAAGAGTACCTTCTATCCGCTTCAGAAGACTACACCCGACCCGAGAGCGCGCGATTGAAGGTCCTAGGACGCTTGAGCGAACTAGCAGGAAACGCACACGACGTCTTCGGTCTCGCCAGCTTCCTTGTCTTCCTCGTCGACGGCCGGTATAGGACCATAACCGACCGCCTCCTCCGTCTACGCCTGACACCAACCTCGCACTCCACATCACGCGAAGTCAGCTTCGAGTACCTCAACCGCCAACTCGTCTGGCACGCCTTCACCGAATTCCTCCTCTTCCTCCTCCCCCTCGTCGGCATCTCGCGCTGGCGCCGCATCCTAAGCCGCACATTCAAGAAGCTACGCACGACCGTCCTCTCCCTCCTCGGCCGCTCGAAACCCGCCAGCGACGATGACGACGAGGAGAGCAAAGCCGCCGGCGAACTCGGCTTCCTACCCGAACGCACCTGCGCAATCTGCTACCGCGACCAGAACCCCACAACCACCACCGAAGCCGACATTCTCACATCCTCGGCTGGCGGCGGCGGTGTCGTCGGCTCCGCAACAACCGACATCACCAACCCCTACGAAACCATCCCCTGCGGCTGCATATACTGTTTCGCCTGCATCGCGCAACGCATCGCAAACGAAGAAGGCGAAGGCTGGACGTGCCTCCGCTGCGGCGAGACAGTCAAGGAATGCCGGCCCTGGAACGGCGATGTCATTGAAGAGCAACCTCGTCGTGTTGAGCATACCGAAGTGCACGAACGGCCCAGTACAGCCAAGTCTGTTGGTTTCGCTACTGCTGGCGATGAGCTGGATGAGAAGGCGCTGCTGAGGGAAGTCGATCCCATGCCCGAGCAGGAAGATGGCGCGGATACAACGCAGGAAGATGAGGAGGGCATAATGGGAACGACCCACACACGTGGTCTGGATCTCGGGGAGTCGTTGTTCACTGAGAGTTCAGAGTGGGCGCGTGCTAGTGAGGATCGAAGCAGCGACGATGAGCAGAGTGAGGAGTACACTGAAGAGAGTGAAGAGGAAGAGGAGGGTGATCAGTCGGGCTTTTACGATCGACGATAAGGCTTTGGAGGGTTGGTTTGGTTAGGTTGGGGCTACTACACGACTGTTGTATAATTACTGGATGCGTTGAATTGCAAGATACCCTGATTTCTCAAGCTTGGTTTGTTCCATTGTGCTATGCTATCAAGTGTCATTGAGCTATCGTGAGACCAGTCCATTATTGGGGCTGACTTGATCGTTTGGTGAGGTGATCGCTCGTAGATGTCAGCAAGGCCAGAGTCTCGCGCCGCAACGCCTTGGTTGATGCGGTCCGTCCTGCGTCGTGTAGCATCTGTCGGCTCTTGCCCTTGCGCTGGCCTCAAGGCCCCTTAGCATAAATGCCAACGTGCATAGTCGCAACTTGGCCTTCTCTCGTCATACACAGCAAACCGCCCATTGTCTCATCATGTCCGCATGAAATCCGCAAACCTCGGCAGCGCTGCCATCTTCTCCTCCGGACTCGTTGTCTCGGCGAAAAAGATGAGGCGCTGGTTCTTGTCCTTTTTGCTCTTCTTCTCTTCTTTTGGCGCGGCTTCTTTGGTCACTTCGTTTATCAAATCGTCGACAGAGTTGGATATGTCGCCGTTCTGGCCAGGCGGGTATGCACCAGGTGGTGGAGCGCCGAAACCAGGTCGAGGAGGTAACGCGCCAGGTTGGCCGGGTATGCTACCAGGCCGCGGGGGCATGCCGCCGTTGGCGGGCGAGAAAGGTTGCGGGACGCCTTGAGGAGGGTATGCGGGCGCACCGGATGGGAAGGCCACGGGAGCGCCAGGGGGTGGTACGCCGTACGGTGTCTGCGCAACTGGTGGTGTCTGTGGATATGTTAGTCCCACATCCTTTCCCTGTCCAAAATCTCGAATACGTACAGCAGTCTGTATGGGCTCCACAGGCGCGGGTAGCACGCCGTTCTTTCGATCTTCCCTGAACTGGGCCGCCCTCTTCTCAATCTCCTCTAGACTCTCGTTGATCTTCGGCCTCTTGTTCGGTGCAGCTTGGCCGTTGACGTACGCTCCACGCATGGGATTTCCGGTAATTCGTGCGCGCTCTTGCTCCTCGGCGAAATGTGCTTGTGTGACTTGCTGGTTGTGCTGGTCTATTATCTCGGCGGGGACACCTTCCATACCGAAGATCTCCAGCTCGAGACCTTGACGGCCGGGATTGGCATTTTCAACGTGAGTAAGCGTCTCCTTGTGGACCTGGTTCATGTGCACGGAGAGACCTGAGAAGCTGTTAGTATTGCTTATCCAGTGCGCGGAGTTGTTACGAGCGGTGCGTACCTCCGGCAGTGTTTAACCGTCTTCCACAGCGGTCGCATTTGAAATGTTTGGCCTTTTGGTGAGAGATGAGAATCTTAAGGTCGTCGAAGTCGCGCTCGCAGTAGTAACACCATGGTCGCTGCAGACGTCAGTATGGGCGCTGTATGCGATTTGGGTGCGCATGTCGTACCTCGAGCTTCTGGTTCAAATCCGGATATCTTCTGCGTTTCTTCGTCATCTTTGCGATTGGTAAGAGGGAAGTGGGGAAGGCGTGGTCGCGCTCGCGGTCGGTCGAAGTGAAGCTCAGGGCTCGCGGTTCCTCGAGAGCTAGCCTAGCGCGGTGGTCCATGCGGCGAACATCTCAACTTTTCTTCCCCTTCACCCACTTTCACCTACAACATCACAATGACAGACATCATCAGCCTCTAATGTGAGGACGAAACCATGTCGCTATATCGTTCTAGATACATCCATCCATCATAGGACGCAACCTGCACACCAGCCACTTGAGTCTTCGACACTTTTACGAGTCCCTTTCGGGGGAGCATCCCACAGCTTTGCGTCTTGCTCAGCTGTGGTGTATGCGGCTGTACCTCAGTACGTGCATTCTTCGTCTGACGAAGTCCGTTGCAAGAACAAATAAAAAGGTCCTTCATAGTTCACACTTCCTCGCTCTTCGGAGAAATCCTACGAAGAGTGTGACTCCTTGGCTACCTACATATCTGCTTGCTCTACCAGAGCCATCAGGCTGAAGTTGGGGTTCTCTTCTTCGCTTGCCATCATACCGCGAATGACGCCAAGGCATTTCTCGGACAGAACGTCTTCATCTGTTGTGAGCGCCCCAAGGTCTATCGGACGCTTGCGGTCGCCGTCAAGTTGGTACAGATGGCTGTCTTGGGCTGATTTGACAAAGGCGATGTAATGGTAGTCCACCTCGTCTTCCGCGTTGAGGGGCACTTCAGTATCTCCCTTGCTTGCTACCCCAGCATACGCATGTTCGAGGTCATCGTTTTTCTCCAATGCCTTTGCCAGCTTGTCGGAATCGGGTATCAGACTGGCATTGAGTAATTGGGCGATGATCGTGTCACTCTCTGACTGATGTTAGTTGTGTTTTCGATTGGGCTGACTACTATCATACCTATCTTTTGTCGCGCCTTGCCATTACAGACAGCATGCAGTATCGCATAAAGACCGCATGCATTGTTGACGGTCTGCTTGAAGAAGATCACGTCACCAGCACCTCCAGAGGTTCGAAACTCCTCAAGCTTAGCGTCCTCGTTCTGAACACGTTTTTCATAGTCGTCCGTTGTGGGAAACACTAAGATTAACGCAAAGGCGGGACGCGGAAGAAAGCCAAGCAGTTCTGGGTCGTCCAAAGAGAGCACATCCTCGAAGACCAACGAGGTGGATAAACCGAGCTTATGCGCGAGCTCGGTGAAAACGTCTGGATTTGACTCGAGAGGAATGAAGTGCTTGGTATAAACTGGTACGCATGCTTGGTCTGCAGTGGTCATTGTTGGTGAAAACTTGTTGATGTGGTTATCTTACTATCATGTCAAACGTACTTGCTGCCTGAGAGTTAAGGCTGAACACCGCACCTGCTTCGTTCGCTACTGTGCTAACCGCTTTAGGTACATCGTAAGTCCCCAACGAAAATGTATCCTAGTGGTGCAGCTATCATCATCAGTACCTACTTCTTTTAATGTATGCAATAGTGGACGTTGAAATTTCCCAATGCAATGAGACCAGCGGTTGACTACGCTGCTGTACACGAGTCCACGATCTCATAGCTAGCGTTGTGCGTGCCAGCACTGATCTATCAATGGAGAGACGTCCGATCTGTCGAACCGTGGCTGTGTCGTACATGAATGAGCTTACCGCCTTTGGGGCGAGGCGATATGTAGCACCCGAACAACACCGACTGTTAATTTTCTAGTAAGAGCGACTGCGAAAAGGCTGGATCACTGGCCCGCCATGAACCACCAAGCCCCATTGGAAACTGATTAACGAGGCAGTCTTGGTCAATTGATCATATGCTTTTAAGAACACGATCGAGACGGTGGGTAGAAAGTGATGAGACAGTGAATTGACCAAAGAGCTAAATGTCTACAACTGGTAAATGAGCCACTTGCCATCCTATGAGCCAAAAGAAAGGACCAGCCAGACAGCAGGCAAGAAGCTCAGTCATATATCAATTCCACATAAACTCAGCAGCTCATCACTTATCAGCGCAGCCATCAGGGCAACTTCCTCCCGCACAAGCAACTGCAACCACGGGGCAATCAGCTGCAGTTTCACATCTGGCGGAATTGCCCTTGGAATCTCGTCCCCAGCACCAATCTCCAGCACACGAACACTAACGCATGTATCAGCATATCGACGATATGTATCTCCCGAGGTCCCTTGGAGACGGCAGCATGAACTGACCTTCCTCCAGCAATAGCTTTGCTCGCAGCCAAAGTCTTCTGTGACACAATAGCCCGCTGATGAATCATGGAATGGGGAGTACGCGATATTGATCGTGACGCTGAACTGTTGCTGTGGGCGGAGCGAAAGAGGTTTGTCGGTGCCTGCGAGAAAACGTTGAGGTAGACCACTCGCAAGGTGGGTGTATAGTCCCACTGAAAGAAAGCTCAGGATAGTGTTCTTCATGGTGAATAGTGCTGTGGTTGTGAGTGAGGGATGGAGATAAAGAAAGAGGATTTGGAGAGTGCGAGGGGGCAAGTTATACTGTTTCGCGTGCTACAAGGTATTCTGGTCTTACGTAGGCCAGTGGCTTCGTGGTTCTCGTGGTGCAGGCGCCTCGTGGCATGAGGAGAGCTACGCATCCTCCTAGAGGTCGTGAGGTGTCATTGTAGGCGGAATTTGGGGTTTAGGGAGCAAGGGGTGAGGGAGGCGCATGGGTGTATTGAGGGGACAAGAGTGTGGGGAAGGTTGTGCTGAAGTTTGAGTAGATATTGATTGATATTTACGGATACGATCGTGGATCCAAATGATATCTTGCTATGCCGTTGGTAGTGTGGACATCCCGGCTCCCTTTGGGTGGGTGAGATGCGGAGCGGAACTGGTGGAAAGGTGTCAGTGCTTGGGAGACGCGAGGTAAGGAGTCGAAGATTGCGCAAGGGATTGAGTGTTCGATATCGAGGGTGAGTGGTTCGTCACAGCGGAATCTTGAAAGGTACGCCAAAGTGAGTACATGTGCATTGCACGAGACCGGAGCTATTGGGTGCAGCTCTAGCTGCATATTGCAACGCGTCCAAGGCTTTCGATGTTAGAAGAGACTGCTTCTCATTGGCTCATTGAGCTCTACTCCCAGTCGTAGCTCATGCAATGCAATATGACACCAGAGTTGCAGGCGACTTTTTGATACCCGATCATGACTAGCTGGATGTAGTGCTATGACACGCAACTCATCAGTCACTCGTTGTATGAGTCGTATCGAACAGTGACTGTACCTGACTATAAAAGATCCAAAGCAACAAACGTTGAGCACTTTTCCTTTAACAAATCTCTCAACAAGCTAAACCGGCAGCGAAAACTAAGTTCCCCGCCCACCATATTGCATCTTATATGTAGGGCCTCAAAGACTATGACCGTCAAGTAACCAAATCTGGACCGGATATCCAACATGGCATCAAAACATCTGGAGCCCCGATATTCACACTTCAAAGCCCAGTCAAGCGATCGAAGAAAGGAAAGAAACCGGAAGCGTAGAGATCATAACACTTGCTCAAGACTGCCTATCCAACTACAAAGACGTTAGTCCACACTTCGACGCGGCGAATGAAGCAATAGAAGCGAATATATGCATCCGACCCACCAAAGAGCAATGCGACAATCTATACGACTGGAAAAACCAGTACGAGACCCTTCCGGATCTTCCACAAGTACCATCTTTGGGACCACCTTGATCTGGAAGACCCTGAGGCACGCTTTGGGTTTGCAGGAGCAGTTCAGCAAACCAGATCTCGAGTGGAGAACCTTGGAACAACCTTGGAACAACCTGGTGAGGGTACTTCAAAGGGTCAAAGACACTTTGAGAAACATCCGAGATCTTAAGAGGACGTGCTCCAAGGGAGGATATGCGAGAGACAGGGTCAGATACTGAAGCAGACGGTCGTAAAACGATGGCCGAGTCAGAGTTTCAGGAGAAAGTGGAGGTCCTTACTGAGTGCAACAAATTGTACTATTGACCGAAAGTATTGGAGCTGAAAGGCTTGCTGAAGATGATGTGTCACTCGGTCAGGCAATCGAAGAACCTACAATGAACATGGAGAACACTACTATCGAAACTCTTGGTCGAAGTTGCGGCCGCGACTACCTTGGGGTCGAAAAAGAGTTCTAGGCCGTAAGCCACCACGTATACTTCCAAGGTTATCTTGGGTGGCATCACGCCACAGGTGGAACCTGATGAGGGAAATATTAGACCACAAGACGACCCACGCGGCCATGGAATGGAGGAGTTTCTGGAGAATAACGTGTCACATTGGTCCGTCTTCGAGCAATGCGGAAATCTCCGTAAGTGGGCAGTTTGGGACGGAGAACAGAAGAAGGGTGACGCCTCTCTCGATTACCGAACTCGGAAGCCTATTCCAAAGCAAGACGACCTGCTCAAATATCAACCGCGAATAGAGAAACGCCAGAGGTATCCACGATAAGCTAGAGATCAGATGGGAGGCGTGTCGTAGTAATGGCTGTAATATATAAATTTATATTCAAACGTCTCACAATTACCTCCTGGTATATGCTGGGGTATCAAAATGCTTCCAGTACGCCGTGGTCTCAATGCCGTGAGCCCGCCCATGTCCTGCAATGCCGTGCAAGCGCTATCCAGTGCTGCAATTCTGTAAACCAACGCCAGATATGCAAGACCGATTATTACTCGAAATTGAAAAAGGCGTCGTCGAATTGCGACTGTTCGGGGTTCTCGTACTCGTCCATGTTGAAGAGGTCCTCGAGGTTGTCGGTGGTCATGGTGTCCATCATCTCGTCGTTGGTAGTAGTGATCGGCTCTTCCTTCTTCTCCTCGACCGGCGGCTGTTCGGCGGGTTTGGGTTCCTCGGCCTTTGCAGGCTCAGGCTCGGGTTCCGCTGGTTTTGCGGCCGTCGCATTGTCGCTCGTATTTGCGGTCGCATCAGTATTCATGTCCAAGCCTGGCAGATCTGACATGGTGAAGTCAATGTCCATGGCCGAGGCTTGGTTCGCGTCGTCATCGCTGTCCTTGGCGAAGTCCTCGAGACCGCGTAGTAGCGAGGGTCCGTCGTTGCCGTCATCGAGGTTAAAGTCCATGTCGCCGGAGGTATCCATCATGTCATGGTGCGGATTGTCGCCCGATGTGTCCATCGCGTCGCCGAACATGGCATCGAAGTCGAACTCGGACTCTTGCGCGTTGCCGGTGGTGGGCGTGCCGTCGAAGAGAGGGTCTTTCGGAGGCTCAACGTCGGTTTCGATGGGCGGCGGCGGTGGTGCTTTCGCGTCTTTCGCGTCGTCTTCTTTCTTCGGGGGTTCTTCTGCCTCGGGCTCCTTTGCGCTCGCTGCCTCGGGCGCCTGTTCTGGTTGCGACACGGCTGGCTCGGGCGCTGCTGGTGTCGCAACCTTTTCCACCTTCACAGGCTCTTCCTCAACTGGCGCCGGGACGTTCTTCGCCTCCGCTGCCAGTCGCGCCTTCTCGACCTCGTGCAGTTTGGCTGCGGCCTCCTTCTTCTTTCGGTCCTGCTTCAGCAGCGCCATGTCGCGGCGCAGGACAGTCTGCGCCAGGCGGACCTCGTTCTCTAGCTCGTCGAGCGCATCGTGAAAGCGCTCAGTAGCAGAAGGCACGACCTTTTGCAGCTGCTGCCTCATGCGCCCGGTGCCGCCGCCCGCCTGCTCCTCTTTGAGGAAGCGCCCAGAATGGAGGAACTGTAGATGTTAGCGCGATCGCAGAAGCAGACACGTGACATAACATACCACAGCATTGAGCATGCTCTGGAGCATGTCCAGGTGCTGAGTGGAGTTTACGGCGGTGGCCATGGTGGGCATGCAGGTGCTAGGCAAAGGTACGGCCGTGTGTCAGTGATGGGTTCGGCGCGGGACTGAGAGAGGGTCCGCTAGCAGGCAGGGCTAGCGGCAGTACGGTACTACGTTCATAGCTCCCGCTCCTTCGGGTGCCTTGTGGCCTGCGGCGCTAATTCTTCGAACTCGCCCGCTCACCTCTCACACCTCTCCTTCTTCACCCCACAGTGGAGATTATAGCTTTGCCGTCACAGCTCGGCGCAGCGCTCGTCTCTCCTATCTCTCTTCCTCTTGTTTTCCCTTGCCTTTCCTAGTGCTGTCCGCTCTCTATTGGTAGCCTTAGTCGCGCTTTCCATACTGACTTTCCTTGCCGCCTACCCAGCTGCCACCACCCCGCCCGCCAGCCTCGACCTCCCCGTGGCCTCGTCGCCCTGACCGTCGCATCACCGCCGACGTCTTCGATACCCGCCGCCGCCAATTGCGCCTCTTGCGACTCGTTTCTTGTGCGCATCCCCGCGACAGCAGCCATGGCCGACCAGCAGAACCCCGGGGCACAGCTGCCTCCTCCCCCTTCCGCTGGCGCTCCCGGCTACGAGAACCAGGGCCAGCCGCAGCAGCACATGCCGCCGCCGCCGCTTGCACCCGTCATTATCCCCCAGAACAACAACCCCATCCCGACCGCCATCAGCTCGCCCATGTCGGGCAACCCCATGAGCCCGACCAGCGGCCAGCCTGGCTACGTCCCCCGCCGCGCCGCCCCCGAGCCCAACAAGCGGGCGCTATATGTTGGAGGACTGGACCCGCGGGTCACCGAGGACGTGTTGCGTCAGATCTTCGAGACGACTGGCCATGTCCAGAGCGTCAAGATTATTCCAGACAAGACTGCAAGTTCTCCTTCTGTAAGATAACACTCCGCACCTGCTGCATAACTCTTGACAGCTGGCCGGGCTTATCTTGCAAGTGTTGCAACATTCATGTGCCGCTGACCGCTAACAGTTCAACTCCAAGGGCTTCAACTACGGTTTCGTCGAGTATGATGACCCTGGCGCCGCCGAGCGTGGTATGGCCACCCTCAACGGCCGCCGCATCCACAACAACGTAAGCGCGCTCGACAATTACGTGCTGGCGGTTCTGACAGATACAGGAAATCCGTGTTAACTGGGCCTACCAATCTAACAACACAGCCAAGGAAGACACATCTAACCATTTCCACATCTTCGTCGGTGACCTTTCCAACGAAGTCAATGACGAGGTTCTCCTCCAAGCTTTCTCCACCTTTGGCCCCGTTTCCGAGGCTCGCGTTATGTGGGACATGAAGACGGGCAGGTCGCGTGGTTACGGATTCGTCGCGTTTAGGGATCGCGCCGATGCTGATCGCGCTCTCAGCTCTATGGACGGAGAGTGGCTTGGCTCTCGCGCTATCCGCTGCAACTGGGCCAACCAGAAAGGCCAGCCTTCCATTTCTCAGCAGCAAGCCATGGCTTCCATGGGTATGACGCCGACCACTCCCTTCGGACACCACCACTTCCCCACCCATGGCGTGCAAAGCTACGATATGGTCGTTGCTCAGACTCCTCAGTGGCAGACGACGTGCTACGTCGGCAACCTTACTCCTTACACTTCTCAATCTGACCTTGTGCCGCTTTTCCAGAACTTTGGTTATGTCACCGAAACCCGCTTCCAGTCTGACCGCGGATTTGCCTTCATTAAGATGGACACTCATGAGAATGCGGCCATGGCCATTTGCCAGCTCAACGGCTACAACGTCAACGGCCGTCCTCTGAAGTGCAGCGTAGGTTGAGTCGTTCTCTTTTGTTATTTCTTAGCTCACATTTTTAATCTAGTGGGGCAAAGACCGTCCTCCGACTGGCCAGTTTGAGGGTTACTCGCCTGCGGGCGGGCCCAACTCAGCTTATCCTCAGACGCCAAGCGCGTACTTTCCTCAGTATGGTGGTGGGCCACAAGGTGGTCCCATGTCACCCTCAGGTGAGCGGCACCGGAGGAAGCTGCAGTATCGAAACAAGCAATCTAATGCGCGGGCAGGACCCAGCCCCGGCGGACAACCCTTCGCGCAGCAGCAGCAAGCCTTTGGCAACCCTGGCATGCCTTACCAGCAACAGATGCAGCAGCCAGGCAGCGCTGGCGGCTACGGCCGTGGCGCTCCCCAACAACCTCAATGGGGCCAATCTCCCCAGGCAGCCTTCAACCAGAATGGCTTTGGAGGATACCAGGGCTAAGCACCTCGTTTGTTAGATTTGTCTCTTCAGCGCTGTGCCCTCTATTGTCCCAACACGCCTGTTTGCTTACGGGGGCGCTGTTTTGGATAGCTCCGATTTCTGGTCATATTTCATCAGCTACTCGGTTTTATGTTCTTAGGGAGTCGTTATTAATTCCGTTGTCCAAAATGGTGCAAGCGTTGTTGTCTTATGGCATGGCTGGTACATTTCTTGTGGGATCTGGTTCACGGTCGTTTGGTTCAAAATGAATCTCCTATCTCGTGTTAGTTTTCTGTTGCTTCAGGCCTCGGCTCTGATTACCCCTTCACTATCTATTATGACGTTGAATCTTCTCCTTGATACCAGCGAATTCTCTTCTTGATACCAAAGCGAGTTCTTATGATACCAGAAGTGGATTTCTTGTGGCGCGCGCTGGTCGTCGCGGTATGACTTTGGATAATATACTATACTGTGGACTAGATGGTAGTACTGATGGTGATGGAGACGTAATAGAATTTACGAGGCACTGAAGCCACAAGCATACAAGACATATTCTCGCCAAAGTGAGGTCTGCACCAGTACGTCATAGAGCCGCCTAGAGGCAGTCAAATTCTGTACCTGCGTCAAGGTGCCTGGGATCCTGCAGGTTCCATCAAGCTTTCAGATACACCGCAGAAACACCGTTGTGATGACGGCACGTGACGTACTGTTCTAGCGCATCCGCATTGAGATGTCGTGTCGCGTTTTGTGGGCCCGTCCGCTAATTGATGCTAACATTCACACCCCACCGCGCCGGATGGCATGCACACACTCGACATCATCTCGGTAATCCTTTCTTTTGTCGGCGCTCTCTTTGTTTGCTGTATGCTTGCCACCCTCGGGAAGAGAGGTGCGTCGCTTAAACCGTACAATCCGAAACGGTCGCCGCTCTTTTGCATCCCACATCCCGCTCGGACGCATTCGCCTCCAACACGGTCCCTCACGCACCTTCCGCGTACGCGTTTCTCGACATCACACCTGCAGCCGCCGACCGCTTCGCCCACCCCGCCACCCCGCCACTACTTCGGCTACCTCTTCACTCGCCCGCACACGACGACTACCATGTTTAAGTCAGCGGTGCAGAACCACAATGCCATCGCGTCTACATCACCCCCAAACAACGCCTACAAGCAGGCCTCGCTCGGGAACGCCTTCAATCGCACCGGGTCAAAGACATCGTCAACGCGTCCTGTAGGAAACGAGATGAAAGCCGCCATTGGGGCAACTACACAAGGGACCAAGCGGACGTCGAATGGGCTGGTCAAGTCGTTGAACTCGCAAGAGGATGACTTTGACTACCCCTCACTCAACATTGCTGAGATTGACGAGAAGGAGAACGATCTGCCGGCTGCATTCCACACATCTTCGCGCAACAATCCCGGCGTCCTCGCCCAGGCTTTGTTTGATGAGGACGACTTCGATAGCGACATAGATCTCGATGTTGAAGACCCAGCGACAAAAGGCACTGTCACATATCCTACGTTACCTCGCGTTGGTTCAGGAGGCTCAGCCGATTCGGGATACAACTCGAGAGCGCACACTGCGGATCTCAAGCCAGAGCAGCCTAGTAGCCAGCCAATACCGTGGTCCTCCTCGCCTCTATCGCACTACAAGACACCGCAGAAGCCAGAGCCGCCGAAGACAAAGCGTCGTACTCTACCGTGGACACAGGCCCAGAAGCAGCAATCGATACAGGAAGAGGAGGAGGAAGAGGAGATTGCGCCACCCAGGAAAAGAGTGGTCAAGGAGGCCGACAAGGCAGTGTCAACACCAGTGAAGGAGTCGAAATCACAATACCCTTGGAACACGACCCAGAGCGCGCTGAAGCAGCAGCAGAAGACTTTTAGGGAAACCAACAAAGCTCAAGCGAAGGCGAACCTTGGCACTGATGAGGACATGAAGGAGGCCATCAAGAAGAAAAAGAAGAACACCATTCACAAGATTTTCCTAAGTGAAGAGCAGCAGAATGTGTTGAATCTGGTGACGGAGTACAAGAAGAGCGTCTTCTTCACTGGTTCTGCTGGTATGTGTATTGAATTGTTTTTAGACGCCCATGCTGACAACGACAGGTACCGGTAAATCAGTCTTACTTCGAGAGATCATCGCTGCGTTGCGACGGAAATACGCTCGCGAGCCAGATCGCGTGGCAGTGACAGCGTCAACGGGTCTGGCAGCATGCAACATCGGCGGTGTTACCCTACACAGCTTCGCAGGTATCGGACTGGGCAAGGAGCCTGTAGAGGACTTGGTCAAGAAGATTAGGCGGAACCAGAAAGCAAAGCAGCGGTGGATGCGCACGAAAGTGTTGATCATGGATGAGGTGTCGATGGTGGACGGCGACCTATTCGACAAACTGGAGTCCATTGCGCGGACGATTCGCAACAACGGCAGGCCGTTTGGCGGTATTCAGCTTGTCATCACCGGCGACTTCTTCCAATTACCCCCAGTGCCAGAGTCCGGACGGCAAGCCAAATTCGCTTTCGATGCGGGCACCTGGACTACAAGCATCGAGCATACCATTGGTCTGCACCACGTCTTCCGTCAGAAAGACCCGGTCTTTGCAAACATGCTCAACGAGATGCGAGAAGGCCGTCTGACCCAGGACTCAATCTTGAAATTTAAGCAGCTGGAACGACCACTACCAAAGGGAGACGAGAGCGTCGAAGCCACAGAACTTTTCCCCACACGCCAGGAGGTTGACCGGGCAAACACTACGCGTATGCAACAACTTCACGGTAATGTCTTCTTGTTTGAAGCCCGCGACGGAGGTACAATCACGAACAAGGAGCAGCGTGACAGGCTACTACAGAGCTGCATGGTACCAGCGCAAATACACCTCAAGAAAGGCGCTCAGGTCATGTTGGTCAAGAACATGGACGACACACTAGTGAACGGTTCGCTGGGCAAGATTACGGGATTCATGACTGAGCAGATGTTCAACGTCTATAAGGAGGATGAAGAGGCCTTCCTTGAGGGTGGACCCTCAGAGGCCGCCATCAAGACAGAGATGATGAAGAGTTCGCTCGGTGTAAACAGCAACCAGGTATACCCTGTCGTCCGATTCGCCATTGCAGACGGCACCACGCGCGATCTGCTATGCAAGCGCGAAGATTGGAAGATCGAGCTACCAAACGGCGAAGTACAAGCCTCACGTTCTCAGATCCCACTCATCCTCGCCTGGGCGCTGTCTATCCACAAAGCGCAAGGTCAGACGCTGGAGCGCGTGCGCGTCGATCTTGGTCGCGTCTTCGAAAAGGGCCAAGCATACGTTGCGCTCTCTCGTGCGACAAGCATGGCCGGTCTACAGATCCTGCGATTCGATCCTAGGAAGGTCATTGCACACGAGAAGGTGCGAACGTTCTACGCTGGTCTGAGTAGAGCGGAGCAAGTCGAGGGCAAGGCCAAGAGCAAGACTATCCTCGGCAAGATGCAGGCTGCGAAGAAGAGGAGTGGTGATGACTAGGAAGGGTGACTGTGCGGGGTACGGCTTGGTGTATATGGGCTTACGACACGATGGCATAGGTGGTGTTATTACTTCTGGTGTATCAACGGCGTTTATCAAGTGTGGATGCTTACATGGCTAGAAAGCATGGTTTCTCGCGGCTTGTAGCAAAGTAATCTTCTCTCACGTGGCGTCTGGCTGGGGTCATAGACCACTCAACAGACCTTGGGCGACTATCAAATACCTCACGGGGGCAATGGTTCCTCCAACGTTCGATTGTAGCATCATCCAAGAAGCACTAACGGCTCTTTCGACTTCTAGCTGCACCCTTATAGTTATACTCTACTGTTAGAGAGAGGAGAAACACTCCTGCGGCTACCATCTGTATCCAAGTCATCCAATGGAACATTCACATGACTCGAATTTGCCGTCGACGACGCAGCAGAATCCCCCTTTCTCTTCACACCTTTCCCAGCCATACTTCCCACAAAGCTGACTTCCTTCAGGTACTGCACGAAGGGCATCTTCTCAATACCTACATGTACAACACTATCCTCACCGCCTACATAGCTGCCGTACCCGTACCTGCAGCCCAAATCTTCGAGGTATTTCTCGCGCTCCTTGTTCGTCATGTGAGCTGTACCGCGCAAATCCTTGACAGCAGCGCTTGAAGCAAAGAGTGCGATGACTGCAGCGAGACTGGTAGGCATGCGCGCGAGGTAGCGACCAGGACGGCGAAGGTATACGATAAGAGAAACGATAACGTAGATGCCGAGGATACACTCCGAGATGATGAATAGGGGAGTGACAAAGAACAGGCGTTCTTCAGGTGTTATGACGATGCCAGAGACCTGTGGCGTTGTTGTGTTGTTTGCCGGCACGAAAAGAAGCTCCCTGTTTACACCGAGCCAAATGGCAAAGAGTCGTGAGTATGCTTGGTTCATTGGCGTCTCCACGTCTGCGAATGTGGGGAGTGGCGTGTTTGGGTCTGTCAGCCGTAGCGAGCCTTCAGCTCGATTCATGAAGTAGTGAATGAACTCGCTGGCAAAGGTGTCGTTATGCCACAAGGGCTGTACAGTTCGAAAGATGAACAAGTTCGATTGTGACATGAGTTCGGCAGCGCCATTCGAGAAGTATTTGTCAAGAGCTTGAGGGCTTTGATCCTGATCAGGTGCGAGATCCCTTGCTGGCTCTGTCAAAACCCCCGTTTTGTCGACCAGTACAGTGGCATCGCCGACTTGGATCTCTGGCTGGCACAACATGAGGAAAGTGTTGTTGCTGGCAGCATCCTCGAAACCCGGATAAGAAGTCACCGGATGCGCGGTCGGGTCTGTCAGGATTTGTCTTCGCCGAAAATTGCCCATACCAAGTGGTCCATCACAGTATTGATGCGTAGCCCGGATCCATCCAACTGCGACTGCAGACCTGCATATTGCCTTTTCTTCTCCGGTGGCTTCAAGGTCAGCCTGGAGGGTTGTCGCTATTTCTGCTCCGACTTTGCCGTCACGGCAGAGAGTTCCATTATACTGAGCATCCCAGCGACTGCTCGATCCGTAGTTTGTGGCGAACATGTTGCCATCCGTACCATAGCATGTGGTTCGCCTTCCGCTTGTAGATGTTACTGTGACATTGAGAAGTTGTTTCCAGTCGCTCATTTTATCGGTCCATAGATGCATATGATAGTCTTGGTCGAATATGAGAGGTTTGCATCTTGGTTCTGCAGCAAAATACTTGGTACGAGCTTGATAAAAGCTCTCTGTGAATAGACTGACTGGTTCGCGATCTTTGAATGAAGCGTAGGTAGCTTTCTTATCTGTCCAGGCCGGTAAGGGAGTATGACGTGTCAAGTTAGACTCTGCCACCAAAAAGTGGCTCTCGCCCGTGGACCCCTGGTAAGCACCTGACATTTCAGGCCTCTGGCTTTCCAAGGTCAAAAACGGATTTCCCATAATTGGTGGACCTGAAGAGCCGTTGATGTGTACAAACCTTGCTTCAAAAGGTGGTGAAAATAGTGCTGACTGAGGGAGTGACAGCGTTGCGCTGAAAAAAAGACCCGCGAATGCAGTTGCTAATAGGTTTGCTAATAGACTCATTGCACAGACTGCTGCTAATAAGTAATGACCAGCTCGAGCTGCTTTGAAGAGTGTGAGTTGGGGAGGGAGAGAACCATAACTGAGAGTTACGCTCCGGGACGCAGCTGCTCTAGGGCCTCGCATCTGCTCTATAGGCTGCAAAACACAAAAGAGTCTGTTGATCATGATCCAAAGTGGTTCAATGAGAGTGGCAATGGCTGTGGGAAGATACTGGGTAACGATGCTCTGAGCAATGCGATCATTCGACGGCAGAGATAACCCTAGATGGTATCAGTAAGAACGATTGCGTTCAATCAAGTCAGGGTCATTGTATGTCATGATTTGCGCGACACCACTTACCGTGTGGCCGAGATCGAGTGAAGAGAACAGCAAGGGCTATCACCAAAGCCACAAAAAGGCTGATGAAAGGAATTTCAGTACCCAAACGGAACTCCATAGGTCTCATGGGCTCTGATAATCGTGGTTCGTCGGTTTTGAGTAAGGGCTGTTGCAGCTCCGAGCTGAGAGCTACATTTCTTATGCTGGAATATGTGAGTTGTGTAGACTGTGAGATACTCAGAGTACTGACCCTTGATCTTTTTCGAGTTTGAATCCGCTGGCATGGAGCTTTTGATCGAAATATTGCGTTGACGCACAATCCAGATCTCCAAATTTGGCAAGTAAATCGGTATCGTCTGCCATCATTGACATGATAGAGGCCAAAGAAGCTAAGAATAAGTAAGAAGCTATGAATACGATGGGTTTAACGCTTACCAGGGTCGTCAACTAGTGCTCTTTTCTTCTGCCCCACGTACCCAATACAAATGAGAGCTATCGCTGCCATTGAGATCACGGCAAGAAACCCCTCAACCATGTACGTGAAGATAGGTTCAAGCACGACTGCTTCCATTTGCGTCCGGAACGACCCTGGCGATTTGGTACTAGTTGACGTAGAAACGTTGGGGTTGAGGATGTCAGCCATCGCACGAGCGAAGAAGAGTTGATATACAATCTCATATGCGCTTGCTAGCTTTTCCGGATCCAGTAGCTCCGGCAAACGATCTTTTGATACAGACATAACGGTTGTCATCATAGGCGAAGCTATAGATGGTGTCAGGCCTGTGTTGTACAAGATCTCGAGGTACCGAGGCAAGGTGCTCATAGGCAGAATGTCTTGTCTTGTCTGAAGCTTGCGAGTACCAGAGCCGAGTGTTTCCTCGAAGACGGTAGTGTTGAAAACCTCTGCGGAAATATTGCGCCTTGCACTGGAAAGACTAATGTCTTGAGGTTTCCCGGTTATCGCATCCACAGTTGCCTCAACATCCTGCTCATAGTATACTGGCTTACAGAATATGGCCGTAATGTTGCTGAGCGGATCCTGCTCTCTTTCTTTATTTTGTGTGAATGTCGCAAAGAAGGTCCCGTTTCCCCGAAATCGACACCACCGCTGGTTTTGGAGAGATTCTATTTCCACCAAATATGCTGCAAATAACGGAGAGAAATAGCCCATGTATGATGCAGAGAATTTCTTGAATCGAGTTGACGCCCGCGGGCCTGTGAGGTCTCCAACTACGGCGCCGTTTTTTTGTGACGAAGACACGTAACAGCCAGCAGAATTCTTGAAGCCGGCTTCGCTTGTGAAAGACCATGTCATGTTACGTATAACGTTAGTCCCTTCAACCTGCACAAGCGCCTCTTCTGACCAGGTTTCGTTTCTTGCTCCTGCTTTTTGCGCCTTTTCGCATTCAAGACCCATACTGTACATGATAGTACGTGCTGTCCAGGAGTCGCCAGCACTGGGTATGAGACCTTGAGTAGTGAACGGTCGTAGCGTATAGTTGCGAGTGGTAAAGGCTGGCATTGTTTCGTTCAACTCCAAGATGCCATATACGGACTGCGCATAGCTGAAGGTCAGAGCCTGCTCTTGCATTGAAGAGTGTATAAAATCTTCCGATGTGTCGAAATTCTGCACGAAATCCCTGGTAATCGGCCGTGTTGAGAATATACCTGCTTGTAATGGTACAACGCCGAATGTAGTGAGAACGGTTGCCAATGAGGCCCAGAACACAAGCCAATGCCTATACAGAGTTCATCAACACTTTTTCGTTCTTTTGAAGTGTGGTGTGGGACCTCACCTCCTCTTAGCTGCTATTATAGGTACAATCGGGATGTAGTCAAAAGGATAGTGCAATAGAATGGAGTTTGCCGCTGACGCTCCACATGGCCGTGCCATGTGCCGATAGGGCTCATAACGCTTAGCATCGTGGTCGATCCAGATAACAAGGATGCTGAAAGTTACAGCAATAATCGTTGGCAGATAGAGGTACCAGAATGAGCGACGTAAGGGGAGTGAGTTCACCGTTGTGGCGAAAATCACCCCACCTTGCGTCTGGCTTCTCCGAAGATAGTATTGTAGAACAGCAATAAAGGTCCAGCAGAGTAATGCAGTTATGGCGAGGGTCCACCATCGTAGCGCGGGAGGGTACCAGCTTTGACGGGATTGTGTGCCGTCCTTTCGTTTTGGGACTAGCGTCGACGGGCGGAATCTGAGCGCTTCGAATCGTACCATTTCTTTGGTGACAAAACCTGCCCACTACAACGGCGTGCGTTAGAGAACTTCGCCTTTTTTTCTCAGCCTGGATATCGTTGAGATGACTGCGGAGTGCTAGTAGTGGTGCTGTCGAAGTGTAACTTTTGGCCCCCATGCGCGGGTGGAATTGACGATCGATGGTGATAGTTTGACGAGGCGGTAGCCGTTGTCTTATGTGAAAGTCGTCAGCGCATTTGAGACGGGTGGCCTTGCGCACCAACTGGTGATACCACGACCAAGGCGATGTGCTGACTGGTAACATCCTATGGGGCGCAGCCGCAAGCAAGCGCTGTGGGGCGGTCAACTCGGTCATTGGTTATTGGACTATGGCCCTGCAGCTTTCAGGCCCTCCACCTCTGTTATTAGAGCGGGCTGTGACTTCAATTCGCCACAAAGAAATCATCTGTGATACGCATGGTCGCGCGTACAGCACACGGTGTTTTTGCGCAACATAATGTTAGCGGCGGCAGATCTAGGGTCCAGCAAAGTGCACGCCTTCTACGCCTACATACAGGAGCTAAGTGAAGCCCTCATCTGACGTGCAGTCGTTCAATGAGAAGAGTGCAGCGCCAACCAGATGTTGACTACCAGTGATGAGTGTCTGCATACCACCAACCGTGCCTATTTCCCTCGCCAACTCCAGAGCTCTTTGCACACTTGGTTCGTAGAGGATTTGTGAGTTTTGGTGGATGCGCTGCCAAATTTCACTGAATGCTCCTCGTGAAGCGTCCAGATCTTCTAGATTTGGAGTTACAGCTACAACACAGTCAGTAGGCGAGGTTTCGTACGACCAGAGTTAGGGAGCTTCACCTCTTGTAGAGTCGAAGTCTTGCTTTGGATCGTACGAAGTGAAAATGACATGGTCGATGCGAACAGGGCTGAGGGAAGTGGCTAGTTGTTCGAGCACAACTCTAGCATCTCTCTGCTTCGATACCTGGCCGAAGATCAAGACCCGTACGGAAGATGCGCTGTGACTGTTAATGGTAGGCGGCAGAGCTTGTATGGTTGAAGTACCTCTCTCCCTGCGAGCTTTCAATAAACCATTCCGCGGCCTTGCTAACGCTCATTTCATTGTGCGCACCATCTAGAAACCAGCGGAAACCCCCTTCGACGATGGTCTGGAAGCGTCCCGGCCAGGAGAACTGGCGGATGCCCTGCAAAATGTCCGAGGATGATAGTTGTGGAGTGCCTTTTGAAGTATCTTTTGTAGCTCTATCTTCAAGAAAGTAACGAACTGTAGCAAGCGCAACTGAACAGTTCATGCGCTGCACATCTGGCTTCAGCTGCGGTGCGTCTGCTGGAAGATCTGGATCGCTCTCCACGAATTGGAGGCGAACACCTTTCTCCGCCGCGCGACATCGAAGAACCTCAGCAGCGGGCGCATCCTGAGGAGACGAGAGTGCATGAGCACCGTGCTTGAAGATTCCCGACTTATGCCAGGCGATGTTCTCGATAGTGGGCCCTAACTGCTGGACGTGATCCATGCCAAGTACAGTGACGACTGCCACTACTGGGTGCTCAATCACGTTGGTAGCATCGTATTCCCCTCCATGATGAGTCTCATATATAGCCACATAAACCTTTTCCTGAATGAATGCGTGGAACGATACCAGCGCGAAGAGCTGGAGATAACGAGGCAGACGCTCCGAGTCTTTTGACAAGACATCCCACACTTCAAAGAAGTATCTCGCGAAGAGATCTCTGGCGATGGGCTGGAAATCGATGCGTATTCTTTCCTCAGGATGGATGAGATGCGGTGAAGTGTATAA